CCAATATCTACTATTGGTACTGAAACTCTATATGTGTACGTAACACAAACTATAGATCTTCAATACTGGTAGTGAATATCAGAACACAGTCATTATCATCATTGAACTTTATTACATCAATGAAATTGTTTTATTTTATTTATAAGTTTACGCTAGACGAAAAGATACATGATTGATTTAATGTTTATTGCTCACGTAATGCGCATACATCAACTGGAAAAGGAAAAAAATGAGAGATGGAGAACAATATAGGAATGAAGGAATGGAGAAGTTATTTCAAAAGTCTATTGGAAGGTGAAGACAAATATGGAGAGGGGATAAAAAGGAGAGAGATGCAAGTTGATCAAGATCAAGATCAAGAAGAGGATAAATTATAGGAAGGAGAAATATTGGAAGCAGTGAAGAAGATGAAGAAGAAAAAAGCATGTGGGGAGAATGGAATACCTAATATAATTCTTAAAATCCTATAATTTTTGTAAGAAACACTTTCTAAAAAACATAACATAACATCAAAATTATGAATATTTTATTATCTTACTCACCTCTTTATCCACTTGCTTTTCCGTGAATATCGTGGACGAGAGAGAAATAATTTTCTAATCTTGCTTCCTTCCTTCATTTTTTAAACACACAACACTTCACTAAGCGTTTATAAGGAATATATTGGCAGTAAGGTTATAAAACGAAACCTGAATAACACCTCTTATCTAAACTTACTGCGCGGCGGGCCATGCAACTGACGGTCGCGGCTGTCAATTTTAGGAGCGTTGAAATTATAAATAGCGCATCTATGTAAAAGGTGTGTTGAATAAAATTTGTTTCCAAGAGACATCACACCTATATGATAACAACTGTGGATTATCGTTTTCGTCTGATATTGATGGATGCTCCGCTTCGTTTTCGCATGTATTTTCACCGTGCAAAAGGGTTTTTAATTCGGCGCAGATAGAAAAAAGTAATCTTTACAGAAGTATTCGATGTCATAATAGTAACTGTTCCTTATCGTTTCCGTCTAATATTGGGCAATGCTCCGCT